AAACAGACTCACATGTGTAAACACTGTATTGTTTCCCTAGTGTAAGAACCTGAAAAAGGGCATAAGATTCAAAATGTATAATAGATAATGTGAAACTGCTTAAAGAGAAAGAACAAGTGGAATGGGGGGAAAGGAGAAAAGAAAGAGCAGAAAAAACTATATATATATATATATATATATATATATATATATATATACGTATATATATATATATACGTATATATATATATATATACGTATATATATATATATATATATATATATACACACACACACACACACACACACACACATATATGACAATCGTACTACTTATTTATATTGGCTCTTTAAAAAGAAAGCTTTGTGCTATTGTTTCAACAATTTTTCATGCCTATATTTTGCAATATGAGCAACTGTTTTAAAGATAATAATTTACAATATATTAAGCATTGTTAATTTCCTATTAGCTTGTTTTGAAATTCTGTATTTTTATTGTTTTTTTTTTTTTCTCTTTAAAATTGTCTTAGTTACTTTTTACTTGTCACTGAGACAAAATACCTGATGCATCAAGTTGGGAAAAGAAAGGTTTATTTCTTACAGTTTTTGGAGGTTTCAGTTCATACTCAGTTGGCTCCAAGGCATGGCTGGCCTGCAGTTCATGGCAGATGCAAACAACAAGGAGGAAGCAGGCGAAAGAGAGCGAGACACGCCTTCTTCCTGCTATTACATCACATCCTGGCTCCACCCCTATCAGGGTGTAGCACTGACACCATAAATCCAAGCACTATACAATGAACCAATCACAAATGCATAATGCAAATTCATGAGGCTTTGGGGCCACTGACATAAACCATGATGTTCCACCCTTGGCCACCAGGACTCATGTACATCTTTTATACAAAAGACATTTAGTCCATATCCAAGAGATGCCAAAATCCTAACAGTTTCCACATTGCTGAGAAGTCCAAGTCCCAAAACTCCACCAAGATCTATGGCACATTCTTAACTGTAATCCCCTGTACAAATCAAACAAGGTTAAACATTTCTGAAATGCAAAGGCACAAGATAAACATTACCATTCCAAAAGTCACAAACAGGGGAATAGAAAGCATTGGAAACAAAGCAAGTCCAACATCCAGCAGGAGAAACATTAAGTCCTAGAGTCCCATGCTCAGCATCTGAAGCAATCTGGTTGCAAGCTCCAAAAGGCTTGGGTGATTACACTCCTACAGCATTTCCAGGGATTTCAGCTCCTGCAGCTTCTCTCTTAAATTCTCTCTGTTCACTTTTTGCAGCTTTCCTTGGATGATCCACGTTCCTGGCTTTTTCTAATTGCTGAGGTCTCCACTGAACCTTTGGCTTTACCTTTACATCTTTACAAATTTCCCTCTCAGGATCACACTGCTTGGCCTCCCAATTGAGGTGGAAGCCATCTTACCCTCAGAATTTGCGCATTTTCCTTGCACCTAAAATCAGCACCTTGTGGATGCCACCAAGGTCTGCTGCAATCTGGAGCAGCAGCCATGCTTTTCTCTCTCTTGGCTGTAGGAATAGATTGCCTGGATCGATGGGATCTGTGAACCTGATTGTGAAGAAAAGCTTCTCTATGTTGCCACCATTCTGAAACCTCATGTGACCTCCATCGCCATTCTGAAGCATGGTGCTCTGCAGCTTTCTCCATTAAGCAAATGCTTTCGCTTTTGCAGTTTTGAGGCTGCAAAGGGTTATAATCCTCTGCTTCCTGGAATGCCCTAGGACCATCTTTCTTATCTCTCTGTTTCTTCTCAGCTATCAAAGTCTCAACTCCATCTTTACAATCCACAGTTTTCCTGGAGTTTTCCTTCTGGCCAAACTCACAGTATTATAATTATCCTGCTGGCCTCTTTGCTCTTGATTTGCAACATAAAAGTTGGCTAAAAGCCCCCAACAATTGCTTTGTAACTTCCTTTTCCAGATTAACCAGTTCATTGCTCTTAGTTTCATCCTCAGGCAAATTCTCTGGGCATGAACAAAATGCAGACAAATGTTTTCTAAGCTGTAACACATCATGGGGAGTTCACAACCAATGCAGTCCTTCTTCCCAGCAGAAACCTCCCAAGCGTGGTCTTTACCATCAGGCTTTCTATCAGCATTCTGGTCTCCTGCGCTCTGACCAGAATCTCCTCTAAAGAACAGCCTAAGCTGCTCCATCTCTATGCATCCAGGCAACATGTCCAAACCTTTCCAAATTCTGCCCACAAGCCATTTCCAAAGCCTCTTGAAAAACATGGTCAGGTATAGTCACTGCAAACAACTCCACTCCTTTGTACCAAATTCTGCCTTAGTTACTTTTTACTTGTCACAGACAAAATACCTGATGCACATAGTTGGGAAAGGAAGGTTTTATTTCTTATAGTTTTTGGAGGTTTCAGTCCATTCTAAGTTGGCTCCAAGGCAGGGTGGCATGGCTGGGCTGCAGTTCATGGCAACTGCAAACAGCAAGGAGGAAACAGGCAAAAGAGAGGGAGACACACCTTCTTCCTGCCATTATACAATGTCCTGGCTCCACCCCTATGTGGGTGTAGCACTGAAACCATTAATCCAAGCACTATACAATGAGCCAATCACAAATGCATGAGGCCTGGGGACCACTGAGTAAACCATGACAAAAATAATACAAAATGACTCTCAAAATATTACATTCCCATACATACTAAGAAAACTCAAAAAAAGAAATCTACTTTCCAAATTCTGGGGAAAATATCCAACATCCACCATTTAAAGGAGGGGAGGTTAATTGCTTTGTCTTATACTTTCAGTAGATCAGTCCATGATCATCCGACTCCGAGGCAGAAGCAGTGTAGTAGGAAGGCCTGGAGGAGGACAACTGTTCATGACATGCAATACAAGCAGGAAAGAGAGACAGAGAGACAGACAGATAGACAGAGACTAAGACAGAGATAAAGAAAAAGTTGAAGACAAGAACATACATTTCCAGGTCACGCTCCCAATCCAGTGACCTGAATCTTCCAATCAGGGCCCACATCCAAATAGCAGAGTCATCGCTAAACTCATTGAAGGACTAACTCATTGATGAATAAGGTGTTCTCGCCATCAAATCACTTTCCAAACGATTTACCTTTGAAAGCAAGAACTTTGGCAGACAGTTTAGATTGAAGCCATAACAGAAAGTGACACTGACACATTCTGAAAGATGAAGTATGGCAGCATGGACTGGCTATTGAAAAGATGTAGACTCGGACTAATCCGTAATCTATATGGCAGCATTAACAGTGACACAAAATTTGTGTCAGTTAAGGTGAGACCAGGAGTGAAAACCTACCACGGGCAAGAAGGAGAAAAATTTATTACAGGAATCGGGTTCGACAAAATTTAGGGGAAAGGCAGATGAATAAAGTTTAAAAACCTCTAGTTAGGAAATCATTCTAAGTAGCTTTGGTGAAGCAGGTTGAATGAGACTGAGTACTGGGTGAGGTAAATCCCTGCCCTGAGGGACAGTGAAGGGAGATGTATGGGAATCCAGGAAAGACTGGTGCCCACTGCTCAGTGCGTTCTCCAGAAAGGGCCTCATCATGATGGGAATCTGTCAGTCTGTGTGGCTGGCAGTCGGTGTGGACATCAGGATGTGTGCAGAAAAGGCACCAGTTGGAACTCACTGGCACTTTTGATCATATTCCTTCTCTAGATTTTGAACCAATAGTAACTTCAGAACAATGATAGTCATTTAACTTTCCCTTTATAAGCTGTGTAATTCATGCTTTACAATCAACAACAACCCAGAATCATTACTGCTAGGAAATTTTCAGAAACTTACTTTGTACTGGGTTACATTGACATCATTATAAAGCATCTATGAATATACATGACAGTGACTCTCTCTCAAAAAGAATAGGATATTTTCTTCTGAGTCATGGGGCTTCCAGTTACTTTTTCTAGATAAGAAGGCACCCATATCTAGTTGTACAGTTATGGAGTTACATAGCTCCATTCTACTGGGGCCCAAACACAAGGAATACAAATGCAGCCACAGGAGCTGCAAAGCCCACACAAACCATGTTAGTAGTGTGATGCTTACCATTGTATAATAAAAACTATTGCACCACAGTACAAACAAACTTGGAGGCTCAGGCGTCAATCATAACTTTTTTGGCTGTCTGTCATGGAGAAATAGAAGTAATCATTAAGTAAAATCACAAGGAAAATAATGTTATAAAGCTGAAAGTGTTTTGCAGCTACTATAGATTTTCAAAACTGATTTAATGGAATTATTGATGCACATTCAAAGCAGAAAGAATACCCCAAAGCTCCTATAATGTATTTCCATGGGTCAATAATTAATTTGACCAGGGCTGGGGATTTAGCTCAGTGGCCTAAGTGCCTGCCTTGCAAGCAGGTAGTCATGAGTTCAATCCCTGGTACTGATAAAAAGGAAAAAGACAAAATAATAATAATAATAATAATAATAATTAATTTGACCTATATCACAGTAAAAGAATTATAAGTAAATTACTGCTATCACATACTTTACAAAATGACATGCAAGATAAATAAATACATAATTTTTCCTATTTAAACCATTTGAGAAGATTTTTCATTAGCAGTCCTAAGGTAAACACTTCACTTGGAAGGTGAATTAGTTTCTGCACAATGACTATGAGGAAATAGTGACCCTCCTTCCTAGTCTCTGACATGCATCTTGTTGACACATATAGTACTGTGAACTTGTAGTTTTGATGAAAAGCAACCGTGAGTTGCCTTCATGCCTTGACAATATTGCAAAGAAGCTTAATATGGAGTGATACCATTCTATCCAAACATATATCATCTGTTCCATATAAAAGCACACATTTCATTGGACTAAGTCTCAGTGCATCCTTTATAGATTTCAACTTGGACTAGCAAGTCTCTGAGGCCTCCTCAAGCAATGTTTTTTGATAGGAAGATGGATGCATCACAGGTAAGGTCACCAGGGGGCATATTAGAGCGCACCCAGGAAGAAGAGCTCAGTTCTGAAAGTGTGGAGCAGAGAGAATATGCTTGGAAATCTGTTCAGAGAAGGTGGTGTGACGCCTGCACTGAAGATGCTGGTGCTACTGTTGCTGCTGGGGCCAAGTATGAGTCTTATTACAGGATCAGAAGTGTGCGTGTGCGTGTGTGTGTGTGTGTGTGTGTGTGTGTCTGTGTGTGTCTGTGTCTGTGTCTGTGTCTGTGTCTAAGTATGTATTTGCATCTGTGCATTAAGGTGAGTGAAGTGACTCAGCCATCATGGGTTCAATCAAAGTGAGAGGGAAAGATAGAGCAGTCTTAAGGCACAAAGGCTGAGAGCCACTGGTCAGTGGAAGTGGGGATTATCAGGCTAGGGAGGATAAGATAAAGGCACAAAAGAAAGAAAAGATGGGATTCCCAACAAGCTGAGAGGAAAGTGACAAAAAGGCTGTTTTATGAGGTTCTGTCTGACCCAGGTTCCCACTGACTGTGTTCCTGCTGGCTTCTTTTGTTCCTCTATCCTCTGTTTCAGCAGGTTCTGCACTTGGGGTTCTTGTCCTCCAACACCCAAGCAGGGTCATCTGTCACAGTGGATCCTCTGTGAAGATTGAATGTCGCTTTGTGGACTTGCAGGCCCTAACAGTGATTTGGTACCGTCAGTTTCCGAAACAGGGTTTCACGCGGATAGCACTTTCTACTGAGGGCTCTGGTGTTGCCTATGAACAGGATGTTACTGAGGCCAAGTTTCCCATCAGCCCCCCAAACCAAACATATTCAAGCCTGACGGTGACCACCACCAATCCCAAAGACAGCAGCTTCTACTTCTGTGCTGCAAGTGACACAGCGCTTGGTGGAAATCAGAGATCTGGGCAAGAACTTTTGTAGCAGCCTGTTCTGTGGAAGGAAGTGTGGAAGGAAAACCACAGCTTATCTTGTTGATAGGAGAGACAAAAAAGACAGACAGTGACAGACAGAGGCAAAGGGAGAGATAGACAGATACCGAGACAGACAGACAGAGACAGATAGAGCCAGAGACAGAGCCAGAGGCAGAGACAGAGAGAAAAAGAGAGAAGGGAGAAAAGGGAGAGGAAGGGCCGGGAGACAGGGGAGAGAAGAGAGAGAGAAGAAACAGAAGAGAGAATACAAGAATCTGACTGTTAAATAAGGTGGAAGTGTATTGTCTGAGACCTAAAAAATATGGGAATAGGAGAGGGACTGTAAAGAGGACAGCTGAAGAGAAAATGTCCTTGATGATTATATATCTTGCACTTTGTGTTGGATCAGCCATATGCTAGCTGTGTGTTCTGTAATAAATCAACGTATGATCCTGTGGTGAGCGCCAAAGAAAATTACACACTCGCTATGTGCTTTCTAGGCAAACTTCGGCAGCTTTGTCTCCAACAATATTCAACACTGCCTTTCATCAGCTGGGCCCTGGGTATGGAGAATCATGTGGTAGGTGAGCAGAGAAGTCACTGTGGAAGAGTCTTGTGTCTGGCTGCACAATTTTTTTGGATTGATGAATGGGAAAGAGAAGCCCTGGAACCCATGAGGGACACTCTGTGCTCAGACCCTGAGCACAGCTAAAGCCGCCCTGAAGAAGTGCTGTGAGCTGGTGTTGACAACAGTATCAGAGGATGGGGAGCAGAGGGAGCCCATGCAATATATTTCAAACAACATGGCCTATCTGAAGGCCTGGAAATTTCTGTTAGCAACTTGGTGATAATGTAGAAAAGGTAGATCATTATAAAAGGCTTTTCCTAAGAGAAAAGAAAAAAGTCACATTGATCATAATTTTTATAGTCCCATAAGAAGTGTGCCATAAATTTATTAGATGAAGAATATGTTTCCAGAAGGAGATGGGGTGAAGGAGAACCACATAGCTGCACATGTTTTCAAGGCCTATCTAGAGGGTAATTGTGAGTGGAGGAGGTGATGGAGATGTTTGAAAAGCCATTCCTATACATTTGATTCAATAAATAATCATTAGTTGACAAAACATCAGTCTGTAAACTGTAGAAGACTTGAGAAGTAGTTAAGAATTCTTAGGATGCAGAAAAGAATATACAACATGTCAGAACAGGGTTCCATTACAGTAGCATTATTCTCCATGGCCACAAATTGAAAAACATTCAACTCACCCAAAAGTGCAAAGGAAAGATTGTGCTGTATTGGTGTAGCAAACCATAATATAGCAAAAAATGAAATCAAAGATAACTTGCAACAACTTGTAAGAATATCATAAGCATAATGTTAAACAGAAAATGCTAACTACAAATGAGTATTATCATATGAAGTAAGAACATTGGTTATCATGGAGTACGTATTTAACTACCTGTGCTTGGGAGTGAGGATTTTAGGACTCTGAAAATGCTCTCTCTTGATCTGGGTGGTGGTGATATGAGTGCGTTCACTTGGAAGATTAGTTGGACTGGACATTTAACATCTTTGCAGTGTGCTATAAATAATTTACACCTAACAAAGAGAAATTACACTGCATGACAAGTATATTCCAATCTTCTATTGCTGTGTAGCAAATTACACTACAATTTAGTGATATGATAGAGAATTTATTATCTGCCTTGCTTCTATGGACTGAATGGGCTCACCTTGGCAAGTTTCATTTAGGACCTTTCTCTTGATGGTAACCCAGTAGTCACTCAGGATGGGGCATCTGAAAGCTAAGGAATGCTGGGCATTTAAGACAGTGTCTAGGTGCACACCAGTGTCGACGTGCACATGTCTGGCACTTGCCTAGGCAAGTGTCAGCTCTCCTCTGGCAGCTTTCAGTGCCATCAGATGGAGCTCTTTATTGTATGATGGCTTTGGGGCAATCACAATTACAGCATGGTGGTTTGATTTCCCAGGAGCAAGCATTCAGTTGATCAAGGTGCATCTAAAGGATACTATGGCTGAGTGCGGAGGACATGAAGCATCCCTTGCCCTGTGTCCTAGCCAGTAAAATTTCTATAAAAGCACTGATGGGAAAATCAGTGCTAGAGACTGTGCTTGGTCAGGTGGCATCTTTGAAAACTGGGCATCTATCTATGGTAATATATGTCTCTGGCTATTATTTGGTAAGGTGTTCCCATGCTTTAAAAAGCATTTCTATCTTAAATTATCTCTACTTTTGAATAGTTTATTCACATCTCACAATATCTATTGTACATTTTGGATCTTACTTTCTCTTTCAGCCTCTCACACTAGGGAAATACAAGGGAAAATGAATATCTGTCTATTTATACTACTAAATTCTTCTAGTTCATTGAAAAGAAAGATTTGTGCTAATTTTGCTTCGACAAATTTTTCGTGCCTATATCTTGTACTCCAAGTAACTACTCTGGAGACAACAATATACAATGTATTAACCATTGCTGTTTTCCTATTACCTTGTTATGAAATTTTGTTATGAAATTCTTTTTAAAATAAAATTAAAAATAAAAAGCAGCAATCTGATATTGTTTTTTAATCTTTCTACATTTGTACTTCTTTGTCTATATTTGTTCTCAATGAAATTTATTTTAATGATTATAAAAACATACATAATAATTATATAAATTAATAGCAAGGTGATAGGTCATTGCATTGATTTGCATTACCCTGATGATAAATATTGTTATTCTTTAGGTGGATATTTGGTACATTGGTGTATAATGCACTTTGCATTTCACTGTAATATTTATTAAAGTTAGGTCAGGGTAATTTTAAATGTATTACTGTAGAGTTTTATATGGGATATGAGTATTACTATAGTGGGATTTATTTATTTTGTTTTGCTTTCTACATTTGTTTTTTCTGGTTTATCTTTTTTCTTCTGTTGACTTTGATTCAATTGGTTTTTCTCTCATTTCACTCTTTCCCTTTAGAAATGTAAAATCTACTCTTCTTTTAATAATTAACCATGAAACTTCATCATGTTAATAAGCCCTGGGATGAGTTTGACTTTCACCTTCTTCTGCAGCAAAAATGACTTTGAGAACAATTAGCACCTCTGCTTCCTGCCTGTTTTCCTGGTTTACAGCATTTTGGATAGTCATAATTTTACATCCAACTAGAATAAGTAGACGTATCCTTGTTTTATTAGTATTTAATGAGAATATTTTCCCTATGTATTTGTCAATATCTACACTCATCATTTTCCTTGTACAAAACTTCAGCATTAATTTACTTAAGATCTGTATATTAACTACAAGAACGATCCTTGGTGCAATGCTGGTGCATTGCATTGAACTGTTAAATATAACTGTTTCCTAAGTTAAATATAACTGTTTCCTTCATTTCTAGTAGAAAACATGTAGAATGCTGTGAGGGGTCATCAGAATCCAATACCAGGCTTTCCTCTACCACAGCCTGGTGATGGCAGGGATCTGACTTCCACTTGTCTCCTTTCCAAACAGTCCTAAACATATTCAAGACACCAATAAAATTACTTGTATAAAGAAAGAAGTGATATTGCACTTGTCTCAAAAATGAATTTATAGCATATATTAACTAAAGACAGAATGGCTTGGCCTCTGGGTAATCCATTATCCGTATGTCATTGTCTATAGGGACATGAAGTTATGTTAGCAAAGTTTTAATCCAGGGTAAAAATTATTATGAACATTAAGGAATACAAATGTATAATTCCTTATGAACATTAAGGAATACAAATGTAAATTGACATAATCTGGGGAGAACCTAGATAAAGTCCAAAACTGTAGTTAGCAAAACATTCTAAGTATCTCTGGAGGGTGACGGTGGATGAACAGAAGCTTTGAGCTGAGTTAGTGCTGAGTTAGGTTTCTCTATCAGTGCACTAGAGGAACCATGAAGAGGGCAGATGCAGGCATCCAGGGAAGTTATCTGAATTTTTTCCTCTGGAAAGCTTGTGGTGGCAGGAAGGATCTTGCCATATTTTGATGAGTCAAGTCTTAACCCCAAATTTGTAAGATAGCCACCCCAGAATAACAGAAGCAAACATTAAGTTAAGTCACAACCAGGAGGCTGGTGAACACACAACATGTTTGGGAAAAACCTGGTGAGATCTTTTGTAATTTTTATATATTTGCAAGATGGATTCATTAAATCAATAAACAGGATTTTCACATAATAGTCAATTTTCTAAGCCTCCTAGAGCCTTTTTTCCATTAGCCAATGCTTAGTATGAACTCTGCAATAGTAATATTGTTTTTAGTAAATTGTTTTCTGGACCTATTTGGCAAAAATTCATGCAAAGTAATTAAATATTTACAGAAATTTTTAAATTTGGCCCATCATTTTACAATACACTTGACATGAAATAGTCATGAGGTAACTGTCTCTTTGAGAAGTTGAGGAAATTGTCTTCATGATTGTGAGCGCACATAGACCTTCCACCCTGGGCACTGTTGATGCATATGGCACTGTCAACCTATAGTGACTGCCCTGGCATGATGACACTGAGGATATGGCTTGACAAGCTAAGAATGGATTCTAATGGCTTTTACTGCTCAAAACATTCTTTTCTTTATGATAAGTGCATTAAAATCATCTGAATGCTCTCAGTCTTGGTGTATCTTCTATACCTTCACAAGTTAAACGGGGAAGTCACCTTGAGCGTGGTAGGCTTCTTGGATAGGGAGAGAAATGGATCTTATGTCACTGGCAAGCGCCACCAGCAGAGGGCGGATTTGAGTACCCAGGGTTATGAGATTAGCTCTGCATCCTCCAGAGAAGAGGACTGAAAGAATAGAGCATCCTGTAACCTTACCTCAGAGGAGGTCGAGAGAGGACGACACGAAGATGCTGCTTCTGTTTCTGTTGCTTCTGGGGCCAAGTATGGGCCGTATTACAGCCGGGAGCTTGGGCATGTGAGTGTGTGTGTGTGTGTGTGTGTGTGTGTGTGTGTGTGTGTGCGTGTGCATCTGATTGTGTATGCTTATGTGTTGAAAAGAGACAAGTAATAGCCAGCGCTTGTGGGATATCTATGCTAACTGGAGTGAACAGGAGTGTCCAGGTTGTCTAAAGTGCAAAGGGTGAAACCCCACTCAGGGGATGTGGGGTTACAGTCCTAGGAAGGTTGAGAAGATGACTGTACTAAATGAAAGCTTGTATCAGGTTTTCTAGGAGCTGAGAGAAGGGCAACAGAAATATGTTTCCTGAGGTTCTCTCTGACTCAGCTCATGACTGACTGAAGTCTTGCTGGCCATGTTTGTTCCTCTGTCCTCTTTTTTCAGCAGATTCTGGGCTTGGGGCTCTCGTCCTTCAACATCCAAGCAGGACCATCTGTAAAAGTGGTTCATCAGTGAAGATTGAATGTCACTTTGTGGACTTGCAGGCCACAACAGTGTTTTGGTATCATCAGTTCCCAAAAGAGAGCTTTGTGCTGATGGCAACTTCTAACACGGATTCCATAGCCTCATATGAAAAGGGTTTTAATGAGACCAAGTTTGCCATCCACCACCCAAACCTGACATATTCAACTCTGACGGTGACCACCACCCATCCTGAAGACAGCAGCTTCTACTTCTGTGCAGCAAGTGACACAGCGCTTGGTGGAAATCAGAGAGCTGGGCAAGAACAGGCTGAGTAGCAGCCTGTTCTGAGGAAGGAGGGGAGGAAAACCACAGCTTCTCTGGTTGACACAGGGGAGGTAGAATAGGAGGAAGAGGGGAAGGAGGGAGAGAAGCAGAGAAAATGAATCTGAGTGGAGTAAAAAGGAGATATCTTATATGAGATGTAGAAAACTGGGAATTGGGTCAGGCCCATACAGGGGCAAACTGACATGGAAAGTCCCTGACAACCTGCATTTTTGCACTGAATCTGCAACATGCAAGTTATGTACTCTGTACCTGTATAGATATGATCATATGGTTGAGTGTGAAGACACTTCTGTAAATTTTGGTGTCTTGTGTTTGGTAAGATGTGGCATTAAGTTCTCTGACAATATTCAACCTATTTTATAACAATCTGAACCTTCAAGATCTAGCAAATCATGCGACAGCCAAGAGAGTCACTCATGGATGAGTTTGATGATGGGTAATGTGGGGGCTTAGCTGATGAGGGTGAGACAATCCCTGAGACACAGGAGGGCCCTTCTGTACAGCCAGGCACAGGGTGCACTTGAAACTCCCCTAATGAAAATGTTGAGAGCCACTCATGACAAAACTGTGAAGAGAACAAAGTGGAAAGGGATCTGCGTGGTAGACTTCAGACAGCACGGTTTGTCTGCTGAACTACAAAGTTTTGTCTAGCTAGAAGCAAGTGTAGCAGGGGATGTAAGTACTTAGAAAAATTCTTCTGTAACAGAAAACAAAATACTTACTTTGACAAAAAATCTGCATGATCCAAGGAAAATGAGCAAAAGACCTTAATAAATAATTATGAAAAGAAACGGGAATTTTTAACAAACATAAAGAGATGGGATGAAAGAACAACACAGCTATAAATATAAATATTCTCAAAGTCTCTCTTGTATATTAACATGAAAGGAGGAAATGTTTCTAAAGTCACTGGTATGCTTTAGAATAAATAATAACAAATTGACAAGTAATACCTGTGTGTCATGAGCCACAAGATAAAAGTACTCTAATCTTATATATATGAGAATGAAAAGGAAAAAAAGCACTAATGGATGAAATGATTTGAAGAGATGAAAGTTCATGAAAAAGAGGATAAAGGGTCGTTTATAGTGAGATCCTAGGGATAGAGATCTCTCAACTTATATTGTCCCCAAGTATAAACCCATCAGAGTCACCCATAGCTGATAGTCTGCCAACCCTTGGTCCTAGGCTGCTGTGGTTCTCTTGGCAACAGAGTGTGTTAGGTGCCAAGTTTGCGGATGGTGCATGCAGGTAAGACCTTATCCTTGGCGAAGTTGGGGATTCACGAAGCCAGAATGGAACTGTTAAAAAATGAATTTAGCAAAATTAAAATTTTAACAAGTTATCTGAGCAGAGCAGTTCCAAAAATGGTTTGGGTTCCACCAAAGGCTCAGCAGGGGAAAAGTTTTATAAGGTGTTCTTATAACGTGTCCAAAAAAAAAATCTGACTAGTTAAAGTGAAAATATTTTAGTTTAATTGACAGTCTCTGATCTGTTAAGTTTAAGTTTTGTTTTCCGAGGCTTTAACCTTTCCCACTGATTGGGCTTTGGTTCACTTATATCACAGGTTAGGATGTGAAAGCCTCTAACATGTAACGATTTCCCAACTAATTATTCTAACAACTGATTCAGCAATAGACATGGAACCACATTATATCTGCCTCATCGTTATGCCCGTTTCCCTTTATTACTTCATATTACATCACCTAGGTTCGGTCACTATGTTCCTTGTCACTGAAATTGAGAACCCAGAACTATAGTCTCTTGCTCTGCCCCAATTTTTAGCCTAGAGAAGCTTGTAAGACACTTGAAATATTGTATAACCTCCTTCACCAACAGCCTGAAAAAGCTCAGAGCACTATGTTTGTAAAAGGTGTTTTGCTTTCTCTTAAGAGAGGACTTTTTTCTAAGGTTTCTCTGCTCCACTTATATCTTCTATGTCCTGAAAGAACTTTCTAGTTCAGCAGAAAACTCGTGCGCACACTACCAAAAAAAGAACATGTGCCTGAAGCCTTCCTTACAGGGGCCTTTTGCTTCTCTCCCTTTGACAACTTAGTCAAGAGTGACACACAACATCTTTGGGTGCTGTGAATATGCTAGATGCAAATGGAGGTGATAGTGATAGCAATAAATACAATCCAGTCCAAATTTGGATTATGTTCTCTTTGGAGCAGGACCATGGAAATGAAGTCCCATAAGATTTCTTCTGATAAAAAATGAGTGAATCGTTCAAAGTGTAAAATATTTTTATGTGATTCTACCTTTACTCTAGGACTATATTGCCCTTGAAAGCAAGTTCATTTCTGAAATAAGACTCCATCTCCCCCTCCAACCCATCCTTTCTCCTTCTCTCTTCCTGTCCTTCTCCCTCTCCCCTCCCTTTACCTCTCTCACTCTTGGCACCATGATCTCTACCAATGGAGTGGCCATGCAGAGAACTGTAGAGCTGTGAGGGAGGCAAGCTCCTTCTTTAAGTCCTCCCTTACCTGGGATACCCCCAATTTGAATCCCCATTTCTTACTCAGTGCACTAACAATTTGTAGGGTATGGACCAACTGGCAATTAAATTCGATATTTCCCAAAAACAATCCTAGAATTGGTTTCTAGGACTCTCAACCCAATTATGAGAGTGCATAGACCTCAAGTGGCTGAGGGATATGACTTGATTTTCTACTTCCTGATTTCAAATCCCTGCTGCTATGTTTTCCCATCAGAATGTGGAAAGCAGTCTTTTATTTTATCTAACAAAAATGGACCGTGATTGGTTTCTTGTAGGTGACTCTGGAGTCTAATATTTAAAGTATTTAAAGTTTCTACTCCATTTACGAAAGATTCTTGAGGAAATATTAAATATTTTCCCTGAATGCTTTCCACCACAAGAAGCTGGACTTAATTAAGTGGGACCAGGGATAATGAAAGGAAGAGAAGTTAAGACAGATGGAAAGGCCAGTCAGGAGAGAAATCTATGAGTTTAGTGAGTAGAATGAAATTAGCAGTGATCCAGGAACAGAGTGGGGCTGGGGGAAAACAAGGTGCGGTCAAGAGACAAAGACATCAGACTACTTATGGCATTATAAGGCACGGGAAATTAGAATTAAACATGAAGTTTAGCAGAACCAATTGTGGTTTTAAGCTTTTGACCTCTCAGGTAATCGTGTGTGTGTGTGTGTGTGTGTGTGTGTGTGTGTGTGTGTGTGTGTGTCTATAGCCAGCATTCTGGCTATAATGGACCCTATAGGTGAAGTAAAATTTTACCTAGAGGTAAATTCTTCTATAGTTTTACAGTTGGGCTGAGAATTAAACTGACATAAGGCAGATTAAACAAAGAAGAGTGAATAAATTCATTTAATACCAGATTTTTACATCCTGGGAGCCTTCGAAAGATATAAAAACACAAAAACACAGTTAGAGTTGAACACTGATACTGTGAATTAAGCAGAGTAGTAAATTGTGAAGGGGTAACAAGGCATATGGGCCAAGCTAGGGCAGTTAGCTGAATGGAGAAATGACAAGAAGAAGCACTTGTAACAACGTTGTTTTGCACAGATTTCCCCTGGCCTCGGCTTTCTGTACTTACTGAAAATAAAGTGTGGGAGAAGATCTTTCATATGGGGTTTTATCTTCCACTTATAGGAATCAAAGGAAGAGGCTCAGAGTGTCTTTTTGCACCTTTTGCCTCTTTTCAAATGCCTTTAACTCAAAACAACCTTCATGTCAAAGTGGCGTGTATTTGGTTGCTGCATTCCCACACACCCCATCCTGCCTTTAGCAGTGTGGAGAGAACTGACACAAAGAAACCAGTGCAGAAGCTCAGGCAAGCATTAAGGTGGCTCCCATGATTACAATAGTGACAGACATGTAGGGAAATGAGGAATTTTAAAGGCAGTAAACACAATAATGAAATAACAAACAATATTGGTGGACAATGACTAAATTGGCTTATGCTTGACTTAAATAGTAATTTTATTACATACTTTTTTTGATTCATGTCCCGCTTAAAGTCTAAACTCTTTAAAATGATGCCTTTGGTTGCTCTGCATGCCATCAAATCATGTGCTCTGCATATTTTGCTAATTTAGAGCAAACAACCTAATTTCTTATTAAAAGAAAAATGTAACCAGTTTGATTCCCCCTTCAAGTTTCTCAATAGACTTTTGGAGCATAAAAATGAGGCTAAAGATCCAATCTGATTACAGGCAAGAGTAAAGTTGCAAAGAAAATTTTGAGGAGAACAAAAAGTGACCATAATAGTTAAGTACCTGCATCCTACCGTTTACTCTGCTCAAATCAAGGGATCCATTCAGGGAATCTATTAAACAGAACAACTCATCTTTATTTTGTACTAACCTCAACTGACAAGTAGTATTCTCATCCATAATAAATCTAACGAAGAGATCATAACAGTTTTGTCAATATTGTGACAAAGTCAATAATAACAGTAATAATATATTTGCCTATATTAGATACATTTGTATATTGATACAAACTTCAGTTCATCTCCATCACATTATGTAGATTCATTACTTTGAAATCATAGCAGTTTTCAGACATCAGGATATATTTAGTTTACTAAACTTTAAAAGTGTACATATAGTAACATGTCGTAAATTTAAAAATAATGTTTTGATATCTACATTTCAAAATAGTTGACTTCCTTTGTGGCACCATTCACTCAAGTTTATACTTTTAAAATATTTTTGTGCAAAAGGCTCCTCAGGAGTGATCAGACAGACAGAAAGATCTATGATGAAAGCAAAGAGGATAACTTTGTAGAAGAAAGGAGGACGCCTGCTTTGCAGGTGTGACTGAGAACGGAAAGCCTCAACCCTGGCACTGGAGGTCGCCACACAACCAGCTTCTTCTTGGCTTGTGGCTGCATTTCTGCTGTTCTCAGTGACTCTCTCTAACCAGTATCTCATTTCCTCCCCTCCCACCTTGCCTGCCTCTTTCTTCTTTCTTTCTCTGCCTTCCACTCCTCCTCCAGAGGAGAGTAGCAAAGTTCCTGATATACCAGATTCTAACCAAAAGTGATGTCACAAGGTAAAGTATCATTCGTGACTGAGGACCTCAGATTAGATGTAAAACAAAATTTTGTCTACAAAAAATAAAATCTTCCAGAAATGTTTCATCACTGATCACTAAATGTTTAATCACTGATGTAAGGCTCTTGAGAAGGAGCTGTGCTGTGTAGTGCATGTATGCTTGTATAAATCTTAATGCTGGGAAATATTGTAGTTAGCAGGTGAAACCTTAGGTCAATAAATTCTGCTTTTCTGTACTGCATTAACTTTTCAATTTATTGTGTATTAGACTATCAGATCAAGAAAGCAGAAACAGCAAACAAAAATATGGCATTTATTATGTGTTAAGAATTGTTCTAGGGATGGGGATGCAGCTCAGCGGCACAGCGCCCCCTCCTGGCAAGCGCAAGGCTCTGAGTTCGAGCCCCAGTACTAAAAAGAAAAAAAAAAAAAAAAGTTCTAAATTTCTTTCTGTAGTTTTGAAACAGGCATTCACTATCTCAAATTTACAAATGAGAAAATAAAATTGATGAAAAATTAATTTTTTTAGGTTTATACAGTTTATAAGTGGTAGAACCAGAACTCAGGCCACCATCTCCTAAATCCCTTCCACTAAAACACCCTAAGGTCTGTTGAGTGCACTTTGCCTGTTGATAAAATTACAAGAGTAACCCTGCCCATCTCCACTGGGTTAACTATTTGCACTTGATATAGTGGAACAGAAAATGGATTTTTAAAAACAACACCAGAACCCTTGGTGTGTTTCAATCTTTCCGGTTCTTTCTCCTCTTAACATCAGTAGGGACCAGAGCAGTCAACCGAAGCTGAAAACTGAAGTTATTTCTTTACCTGGATGGCATTATACCTGGTTCACATGCAGATGGCATTCTGAATGTCAGAAAGCTCAGGAAAGAATGAGAAATACCTTCTAAAAGTACTAGTAAAAGAACTAGTTAAAATACATCCAAAATAAAAATAATGTGAAATATTTTCAAAAAACTGGTTAGACTCGGGGTTATAATGACAGCAATAATGGGGCCTCTTATACTAAAAGATGACTATGTTTTAATGATAAAAACAATGTTTGACACTGAATTAGACACAGACATGCAGATTGGTGGCAAATTGACTTAGGAGACAACTATGAAATTTGGAATAAAATTGAATAGTTGATGAGGTAAATATGAATGAAAAGGGACAATGATAATTAACTAGAAAAAAAGATTATAAAACAGCACTTGGCCAGCCATGGTGGGACATGCCAGTAATCCCAGCACTCGGGAGGCTGAAGCAGGAGGATCATTGGGGGTTCCAGACCAGTCTGGGCTACAAAGTGAGCTCAAGGGCAGCCAGAACTGCATACAGAGACACTGTGTCAAAAAGAACAACAAAAAAAATACTTAAAGAATTTTTAATAAAAAGAATATATGCATATATATGCATGTATACATATAGAAAAGAAGAGAAAGAGACAGATCTGAAAAGCCTATGACTAAAGTATGAACAATTTAGTCATTGTCCACCAGTAATGTTTGTTATTTCATTATTGTGCTTACTTTGTAAATTTTGAAAAACAACTGCTTATTATGTTAATAAAAATACATTTGAGCTGGGTGGGATGATACATGGGTGGTAATCCCATCAGTACAAGGTGAGCTCAAGGCCAGCCTGAACTCTATGGTGAAACTCTGTCTCAAAAATACAAAAAGAAAAGAAAAGATACAGACAAATAAAAGAAAACATACGTTTAAATATATGTAAATGAATAAACACCTGTAATACTGACTGAGTTTCCGTAGCCCTCACTTCCAATAAATACTAGCAACTGTGTTGCCAGGAACACATGACAAAGACCAAGCCTGCCAAGCTATCACGTCACAAGAAGGCTGCCCATGAGAAGTGCAGCAGCCTGAGCGTTTTGCCATTTCGATGCAACCATGTCCACATGGCTCTTCTGCTGTGTGGCTCTTTGTCTCCTGAATGAAGGTGAGGCCTGAGTACAGAAAACAAACTCTTGTTCTCAGCTTGCTACGCCAGAGGCAAACCCTTTTCTGCATCAGCAGCACTGTCAGGCTGAGGCCTCAGCTTCTCTTTCCTTTTCTTCTAGGCTTTTCTGATGACGAAGTTATTCAGACGCCAAGACATCTCATCAAATGGAAAGGACAGAAAGCGAACATGAGCTGTATTCCTAAAAAGGGACACACTGCTATTTACTGGTATCAACAAAAGCAGAACAAAGAGTTGAACTTTTTGATTTATTTTCTGAACAGTCAAGATATGAATAAAATGGACAGGTTTGAGGACCAGTTCTCAGCTGAATGTTCCCAAGACTCACACTGCAGACTGGAAATCAAGTCCTCTGAACCAGAACACTCAGCCCTGTATCTCTGTGCTAGCAGTGAGTCCACAGTGCTGAAATGTTCATTCCTCAGAGTGCACAAACCCCCATGGAGCCAGCTCAGGAAGCAGCTGATGAGATAGGTTGGAGGGAGGTAACAGAAATGACCTGGAGCTGGCATAACTGCAGTGACAGGTATTCTAATGTCCAGAATTGGTGGGCTAAATTTATGGTACAGGACCTCCTGTGACAGGGTGTAGGGCTGCTGTATCTCCAGAACTCCGCTTCTTGTTTCTCTCTCCTATCCTTTATTCCCTTACTTTTTGTCTCTCTGTTTTTGAGCAAATTTTCATGGTAAGTAAAGAACCACCACTCTGATAAAAATCTCCCCAAATCCTTCTAAGCTAGAGTTTAAAATTTCAGAGAGAAAAATCAATTACAGATGACTCAGACATGCTATCTAGAAAAACTAATTCTAGTCATGCGTTTACATATTTGAAATCATATAGGTGCTGTTTTATTATAGATGAAATTCTGCCTCTCAGAATTTTTCACGCATTTCCGAATAAATGAAGCATATTGTGCTTCTCTGTGTACATCCAGTCTGTGATTTCTAAGTTTTATACAACACTACATGTTTCCTTCTTTTAGAAAAGACATCTAGTTGTCTTCCAATTTCTGCCGGAACTGACATCACTTGTACATAAGTCCTCATGGGCCTGAATAAACAGTTTATAGGAGTATGTGTCTAGTATCATGGATGGTGATAGTCATTGAGACACTGAGTACTACCTATGCATGTGATTCTATGTGTCTAAAGACCACCTGAAGGCTCTTCAAATTTGTACTATAATTTCCATACAAACTCATAAGGTTTGTTTCCATAACGTCATAATCCTCGTGAAATCCAGTGCTCTAGACTGTGACCAGTACACTGACTTAGAAGGACTGGCAATTCCAGTCTCCCTCCCTTCCCCAAGATACCCTCAGTGGTTATCATAAAGATGCGGAAGACAATTTAGGAAAATAATAAGTAATAACAAAGTTAAACAGGAGATGTGACAGATGGAGGGAAAGAGAGGTGAGGGAGATGTATTCAAAGAATATTGATAAGGGATTTTCAGAGTATGCACTGTCCAGTAGTAGCAGCATTATTTTGTTATATTATTTTATGACTTTGTAAATATTATACATAATACATAGTATCTATATATAGTATTTATGTACATATTTAATATTTATGCATAGATAATATATAGAGTCATAAAATGCACACATAATTTATGCACATATACTTTTATAGTAGTAAAAATAGACGTAAAGAGTTATAAATAAATGAGATATAAATCAGGTGCATTTACTGAGTGAAACCAGAAGCTTCTTTCTGTATCAGGAAGTGCGTTTGCCAGGAACACGAGTCAGTCCCATGAAGACCAAGTCTGCCAAGCTGTCACATCACAGGAAGGGTGCCTGTGAGGAGGGCAGCAGCCACAGCCTTTTGTGGCTTCAATGCCACCATGACCACATGGCTGCTCTGCTGTGTGGCTCTTTGTCTCCTGAATGCAGGTGAAGCCTGAGCACAGAAAACAAACCCTTGTCCTCAGCTTGCCATTCCGACCCAAACCCTTTTCTGCATCAGCAGCACTGTCAGGCTGAGGCCTCAGCTTCTCTTTCCTTTTCTTCTAGGCTTTTCTGATGACGAAGTTATCCAGGTGCCAAGACATCTCATCAAATGGAAAGGACAGGGAGCAAACATGAGCTGTGTCCCAAAAAGGGGACACACTGCTGTTTACTGGTATCAACAAAATCAGAACAAAGAGTTGAAGTTTTTGATTTATTTTCGCAACAGAAAAGATATGGAAAAAATGAACATGTTCGAGAAACAGTTCTCAGCTGAATGTCCCCAAGACTCACTCTGCAGACTGGAAATCAAGTCCTCTGAACTAGAAGACTCAGCCCTGTATCTCTGTGCTAGCAGTCAGTACACAGTGCTGAAATGTTCGTTCCTCAGAGTGCACAAACCCCCATGGAGCCAGCTCAGGAAGCAGCTGATGAGATAGGTTGGAGGGAGGTAACAGAAATGACCTGGAGCTGGCATAACTGCAGTGACAGGTATTCTAATGTCCAGAATTGGTGGGCTAAATTTATGGTACAGGACCTCCTATGACAGGGTGTAGGGCTACTGTATCTCCAGAATTCCCTCTTCTTTTTCTCTCTCTTATCCTTTTTTCCCTTACTTGTTGTCTCTCTGTTTTTGAGCAAATTTTCATGATAAGTAAAGAACCACCACTCTGATAAAAATCTCCCCAAATCTTTCTAAGCTTGAGTTTAAAATTTCAGAAACAAAAATCAATTACAGGTAAACAAGCCATGTCATTCTCCTGGAAAACCTAACTCTAGTCATGCATTTACACATTTCAAATCATATACTTACAATTTTATTATAGATGAAATTCTGCCTCTCAAAATTTTTCACTTAATTCCAAATAAATGAAATGTACTGTTTTTCTGTATACATCCAGCCTGTGACTTCTAAGTTTTACACAATACTGTATGCTCCCTTCTTTCACAAAAGACATCTAGTTGTCTTCCAATTACCTGCCAGCACTGACATGACTTGTACGTAAGTCTTTATGGATCTGAATAAACAGTTTATAGGACTAGAATCATGGATAATCACTGAGACACTGAGTACTACCTATGCATTTTATTCTATGTGTGTCTAAAGATCACCTGAAGCCTCTTAAATTTGTGCTATAACTTCTGTTCTTATATACAAATCCATAAAGTTTACTTCCATAACCTCATTATCCCTGAGACATCCAATGCTTTAGATTGTGACCAGTACACTGACTTAGAAGGACTGGCAATTCCAGTCTCTCTCCTACTCCTCCAGGTATCCTCAGTGGTTATCATAAAAATGCAGAAGACATTTTAGGAAAACAATAAGTAATACCAAGTATTAAACAGGAGAAATGAGAGATGGAGGGAAACGAGATGAAAGAGACATATTCAAAGACTATGAATAAGAGATTTGTAGGGTAATCATAGTTATTTTGTTGTTTTATTTTATGACTTTGTAAATATTGTACATAATATATGTATATATAGTATTTAGGTATGTATATATTATTTATGCATAGATAATACATAACGTCATAAGATATACACATATTTTTATGCACAAATACTGGTTATAATAGTAAAAATAGCCATAAAGTGTTATAAATAAATGAGATATAAACCAGGTATATTTGCTGCGTGAAACTAGAAGCTTCTTTCTGGTACCAGGAAGTTTGTTTGCCAGAAACATTACTCTGTCTGAAGAAGACGAGTCTGATAGGCTATCGTGTCACAGGAAGGCTGCCTGTGAGGAGGGCAGTAGCCTCAGCCTTTTGCCACTTCGATGCAGCCATGACCACATGGCTCCTCTGCTGTGTGGCTCTTTGTCTCTTGATTGCAGGTGAGGCCTGACAACAGAAGCACAGAAGAAAACCCTTGTCCTGGGCTTCTCAAGTCAGACACAAACCCTTTTCTGGATTGGCAGTGCTTAGGGGCTTCGGTTTTAGCTTGTCTTTCCTTCTCTTTCAGGCTTTTCTGATGACACAGTGACCCAGAGGCCAACACATCTGATCAAGTGGAAAGGACAGAAAGAAAACATGAGCTGTGTCCCTAAAAAGGGACACAATGCTGTTTACTGGTATCAACAAAAGCAGAGTAACGAGTTGAAGCCTTTGATTCGTTTTCAGAATAGAGAACCTCTTGAAGAAATAGACAGGTTCAAGGACCTTTTCTCAGCTACGTGTCCCAAAGACTTACCCTGCAGCCTGGAAATCAAGTCCTCTGAGCGAAACAACTCAGCCCTGTATCTGTGTGCAAGCAGTGAGTCCACAGTGCTGAAACGTTCGTTCCTCTATGTACAGAAAACCCCATGGAGCCCACTCAGGAAGCAGGTGATGAGTTCAGGTGGAAGGAGGAAACAGAGATGAACTGGAGCTCTACAGCAGAATTTTTTGCATTGCTGATAGTTATTCTAATGTCAAGAACTGGTGAGCTGAAGATTTTGGTAAAGGAGTCTAGTCTTTTTGCCTTTCCAGGAGTCCTTCTTCTTCATCGTCCACTTTATGCTTTTCCCTTCTAACACAATCTTTCTTCTTTTGTCAAAGCCTCATGATGCATCACAAAGATCATAAGTTCATTTGTGATTGTTATACCATAGTGATAAAATCAGCCTGAATCTTTCTAAGCTTGGTTTTAGATATCAGAGATAGCATTGATTATGAACAAGTAAGCCATGACCTTCTCATGGAGCACCCAATTCCAGCCATACATGTAGGCAGTTGAAATAACATATTATCTTATTTTGGACATAATTCTATCTGTTCATAATTCTATCAGCTCAGAATAAAGGAAACACTTCATGTTTGTGTGCATCCAGTCTGTGACTTCTAGGTGCTGCAAAATACTTACTTCATCCAGAAAAGATACCCAATTGTCCTCCAATATTTTTGCCAGCATTGAAAGCCCATGAACTTAGGACTTTATGGACTTGAATAATGAGTTTATAGGGTCACGTGTTTAGAATTAAGGATGTTGATAATTGTTGAGACACTGAGTACTTTATGTATATTTTGCATGTATCTAAATATCCCCGAGTATTCTTCAAAATTATGCTAATTTCCATTTTCCCATACAAGGACATGAGACGTCTTCCATAAGCACATAACCCCTATGACAGTAACCAGTATTCTAGACAGTGGCCAGCCTAGTGGCATATATTACAGATTCTAGTCTTTCTCACTTACTCCCAAGTTATTGTCAGTGGTTATCATTAAGCTGCAGTGGGAAAATTAAGAAAAATATAAATAATACCAAGAATTTAAGATGAAGTGAGAGAGATGGAGGGGGAAAAAAAGACTATCAATAACCATGTTTTTGAAACCTATACTTCACTGTATTTGGTTTCTTGTTGTGGTTTGTTTGTCTGTATTGCTTTTTGTTTTCCTTATCTGTCTCTTTTTTATATTAAATAAAAAAGATTGTCCCTATGACATTAGCAGTCTAGTCACTCACAAGGAGTAGTGATATTGTTTTGTCATTGTATTTTATAATATAACCAACTCCAGATGCAAACCCTTTTCTGTGTCAGAGTCTCAATGAGGTGCTTTCCTTAGCTGTAGTTCTCTGCCATAGTCTTCTGATGATCCAAATGTAAGACTTCTGGCCAAACGGAAACAACAGAAAGAAAATGAAAAAAGACCCACTGATGTTTATTGACAAAAAAGTTGTAGATGACAATATGAGAAAAAAAATCAAGTCAAAGATTTGACAGGAAATTAGAGCACAGGAGCATACATAGAAACAGGAATATTTCATTATACAACTAAATCAATAATTGACAAAAATCTAATAGTTACACAAAGTTTTCTTTGGGTGTGGAAATCTGCATGGCTCTCTCTTTATTTCTCTCTCTCTCTCTCTTTTCTCTCTTACATATAACAATTTATAAATAAATAAAATATCAGTCAGTTTTGTTTATTCAATGAAACTAAACACCTTCTTTCTGGTACAAGGAAGTGATTCCTGTTTGACAGGAACATGAATTGGTCCCAAGAAGACCAACTCTGCCAAGCAATCACGTCACAGGAAGGCTGCCTATAAGGAGTGGAACAATCTGAGTCTTTTACAGCTTCAATGCGACCATGACCACATGGCTCCTCTACTATGTAGCTTATTCTCTGCTGAACGCAGAGGAGGCCTGAGCACGGAGGCACAAAAGAAAACCCTTGTCTTAGGCTTGGCAAGCCAGACCCAAACCTGTTTCGGGTTGACAATGCTTAGGGGCTTAGGCCTTAGCTTGTCTTTCCTTCTCTTTCAGACTTTTCTGAGGACACAGTGACCCAGAGGCCAAGACATCTGATCAAATGGAAAGGACAGAGAGCGAACATGAGGTGTGTCCCTAAAAAAGGACACACTACTTTTTACTGGTATCAACAAAAGCAGAATAAAGAGTTGAAGTTTTTGATTTATTTTCAGAACAGACAAGATATTAATAAAATGGACATGTTCGAGAAACAGTTCTCAGCTGAATGTCCCCAAGACTCACTCTGCAGACTGGAAATCAAGTCCTCTGAACCAGAAGACTCAGCCCTGTATCTTTGTGCTAGCAGTGAGTCCACAATGCTGAAATGTTCATTCCTCAGAGTGCACAAACCCCCATGGAGCCGACTCAGGAAGCAGCTGATGAGATAGGTTGGAGAGTGGTAACAGAAATGACCTGGCGCTGGCATAACTGCAGTGACACATTTTCTAAGTTAAGAATTTGTGGGCTAAAGATTGTGGTATAAGACATTCTAGGACAGAGTCTAGGGTGCTACACTCAAGAACTCCCTGTTCTCCCTTTTGTCTCTCCTGATCTTTCCCCCCTACATTTCTCTCTCTCTCTTCCTACAAGACTTCAGAGGAGTTAAGAACCACCACTCTGATAAAAATCTGCCAAATCCTTCTAAGCTTGAGTTTAACATTTCAGAGAGAAAAATCAACTACATGTGACCCAGCCATGGCCTTGTCCAGGAAAAACTAATTCTCATCAAGCATTTACACATTTGAAATCATGCAAGTGCTCTTGTATTATACATGAAATTCTGCCTCTCAAGTGTTTTCACTCAGTTCCAAAAAAATGAAACATACTGTGTTTCTCTGTGTACATCCAGTCTGTGAGTTCTAAGTTTTACACAACACTGCATGCTCACTTCATTCAGAAAAAACAACTAGCTGTCTTCCAATTACCTGCCAGCACTGACATGACTTGTATTTAGTCTTTATGGGTTTGAATAAATACTTTATAGGACTATGCGCCTAGAATCATCGATGGTGATAGTTGTTGAGACACTGAGTACTAACTTTGTATTTTATTCTTTCTGTCCAAAGATCACCTAAAGGCTCTTCAAATTTGTGCTAAAATTTCTTTTCTTATGTACAAACCCATAAAGTTTACTTCCTTAAGCTCATAATATCCATAATAGTCAGTGCTCTTGATTGTGACCAGTACACTAACTTAGAAGGACTGGCAATTCCAGTGTGCCTCCGTTCCCCAAGATATCCTCAGTGGTTATCATAAAGATACAGAAGACAATTTAGGAAAACAATAAATAATAAAAAAATTAAAAAGGAGATGTGAGAGATGGAGGGAAAGAGAGGTGTGGGAGATCTATTCAAAGACTATCAATAAGGGATTTTCAGGGTAATCACTGTCCAGTAGTAGCAGCTTTATTTTGTTATATTATTTTATGACTTTGTAAGTATTATACATAATACATAATATCTATATATAGTATTTATGTGCATACTTAGTATTTATGCAGAGATAATATATAAAGTCACAAAATACACATTTTCAAGCACATATACTACTTATAGTAGTAAAAATAAAATGTTATAAATAAATGAGATATAAATCAGGTACATTTACTGAGTGAAACCAGAAGCTTCTTTCTGTATCAGGAAGTGCGTTTGCCAGGAACATGAGTCAGTCCCAAGAAGATCAAGTCTGCCAAGCTGTCGCGTCACAGGAAGGCTGCCTGTGAGGAGGGCAGCAGCCGCAGCCTTTTGTCACTTCAATGCCACCATGACCACATGGCTGCTCTGCTGTGTGGCTCTTTGTCTCCTGAATGCAGGTGAAGCCTGAGCACAGAAAACAAACCCTTGTCCTCAGCTTGCCATTCTGACCCAAACCCTTTTCTGCATCAGCAGCACTGTCAGGCTGAGGCCTCAGCTTCTCTTTCCTTTTCTTCTAGACTTTTCTGATGACGAAGTTATCCAGATGCCAAGACATCTCATCAAATGGAAAGGACAGAGAGCAAAATGAGCTGTGTCCCTAAAAAGGGACACACTGCTGTTTACTGGTATCAACAAAAGCACAATAAAGAGTTGAAGTTTTTGATTTATTTTTGGAACAGAAAAGATATGGAAAAAATGGACAGGTTCAAGAATCAATTCTCAGCTTAATGTCCCCAAGACTCACTCTGTAGACTGGAAATCAATTCCTCTGAACTAGAAGACTGTATCTCTGTGCTAGCAGTGAGTCCACAGTGCTGAAATGTTCGTTCCTCAGAGTGCACAAACCCCCATGGAGCCAGCTCAGGAAGAGGCTGAGGAGATAGGTTGGGGGGAGGTAACAGAAATGACCTGGAGCTGGCATAACTGCAGTGACAAGTATTCTAATGTTCAGAATCGGTGGGCTAAATTTATGGTACAGGACCTCCTGTGACAGGGTGTAGGGCTGCTGTATCTCGAGAACTCCTGCTTCTTCTTTCTCTCTCCTATCCTTTTTCCCCCTACATGTTCTCTCTGTTTTTTTGTGCAAATCTTCATGATCACCACTGTGATGAAATTCTGCTCAAATCCTTCTAAGCTTGAGTGTAAAACTGCAGAGAGAAACATTAATTACATTTAAGCCACCAATATTCTCCTGGAAAACCTAACTCTAGGCATGCGTTTACATATTTGAAATCATATAAGTGCTGTTTTACTGTAGATGAAATTCTCCCTCTCAGAATTTTTCACTCAGTTCTGAATAAATGAAACATACTATGTTTCTCTGTGTATATCCACTCTGTCACTTCTAAGTTTTACACAATACTACATGCTCACTTCTTTCAGAAAAGACATCTAGTTGTATTCCAGTTACCTGCTAGCACTGACGTCACTTGTACATGGGTCTTTATAGGCCTGAATAAACAGGCCTTTATAGGAATATATGTCCAGAATCATTGATGGTGATAATTGTTGAGACACTGAGTACTAACTTTGCATTTTATTCTGTGTGTCAAAAGATCACCTGAAGGGTCTTCACATTTGTGCTATAATTTCTGTTCTTAAGTACAAACCCATAAAGTTTACTTCTATAACCTCATAATCTCCATAATATCCAGTGCTCTAGATTGTGTCCAGTACACTGACCCAGAAGGAGTGGCAACTCCTATCTCCCTCCCTGTCTCCCAGACATTCTCATAATAAAGATGCAGAAGATAATTTAGGAAAAAATAAATAATGCAAAAAATTAAAGAAGAGATATGAGAGATGGAGGGAAAGACAGGTGAGGGAGATGAATTCAAAGACTATCCATAAGGAATATGCAGGATAATGACTGTCCACTAGTAGCATGATTATTTTGTTATTTTGTTTTATGACTTTGTAAATATTATATAGTATATATATAGTTTTTATGTACAAATATAACATTTATGTATAAATAATATCTAAATTCATAAAATACACACAGTTTTTATGTACATATACTGTTTATAGTAGTAAAATTAGACATAAATTGTTGTAAATAAATGAAATATAACCCAGGTATATTTACTGAGTGAAACTAGAAGCTTCTTTCTGGTACCAGGAGGTGTGTTTGCCAGAAACATGAGTGTGTTCCAAGAAGACCAAGTCTGCCAAGCGATCGCGTCACAGGAAGGCTGTCTGTGAGGAGGGCAGCAGCCTCAGCCTTTGCCACTTCGATGCAACCATGACCACATGGCTCCTCTGCTGTGTGGCTCTTTGTCTCTTAAATGCAGGTGAGGCCTGAGCACAGAGGCACAAAAGAAAACCTTTGTCCTCGGCATGGCAAGCCAGACCCAAACCCTTTTCTGGATTGATAATGCTTAGGGGCTTAGGTCTTAGCTTCTCTTTCCTTCTCTTTCAGGCTTCTTTGATGACACAGTGACCCAGAGGCCAAGACATCTGATCAAATGGAAAGGACAGAAAGCAAACATGAGCTGTGTCCCTAAAAAGGGACACACTGCTGTTTACTGGTATCAACAAAAGCAAAATAAAGAGTTGAAGTTTTTGATTAGGTTCCAGAATGAAGATCCTCTTGACGAAATGAACAAGTTCGAGGATCAATTCTCAGCTCAATGTCCCAAAGCCTCACCCTGCAGCCTAGAAATTAAGTCCTCTGATCGAGAAGACTCAGCCCTGTATCTCTGTGCAAGCAGTCAGTTCACAGTGCTGAAATGTTCGTTCCTCTGTGTGCACAAACCCCCATGGAGCCAACCCAGGAAGCAGCTGATGAGTTCTGTTGGAAGGATGTAACGGAAATGAACTGGAGCTGTCATCACCACAATGGTTTCTTACACTGTTGAAGTGAATTTAAAAGTCATAGAAGCAGTGGGCTGGCAGTTTGGAAAAAGCACCATTTGGAGTAGGATCTGCAATGGCTTTCTCTCAAGTCCTCCTTTTTCTTTTCTTTTTTCTGCTTCATGCAGATTTCTCACTATATGTTATCTTCCTCCTTTTGTCCTGTCATATTGTGTTAATAAAATAGTATCCAAAGATCCCAATTCTCTGGCATCATTTTACCACAGTGAAAAAGATCAGTCTAATTCTTTCTAAGCTAGAGTTTAAATTCTTGGAAACAATATATTAGACATGGGCCAGTCATGACCTTCTCATGGAGTAACCAACCCTAATCATATTTGTGTTTATTTGAAATCACTAATCTTTATTTTATTATGTATACAATTCAACTCTATGACTCTTTTGCTCACCTCAGAGTGAGTGAACTATTTTACATTTCTGTGTGTTTATCCTGTCCTTCACCTCTAAGCTACACACTAATACACTCCTCTTCCCTTTCAGAAAATACACTCAGTTTCCTCCCAATTCCTGACCAACACTGAAACCACTTGGGTGTAGCTTTCCATGAATCTATGTAACCTCTTTATGGGATTTTATACTTGGAAACACAATATGGTAATACACATATAGTAATCTAGTTATATAAATATCAACTGTGGGCTCTTCAAAATTACCTTATAATTCTCCAGTCTCAGTCACAAGGGCACAGGTATTTCTCCCATATTATTATAATTCCTATGACAGTATTTAGTGCTCTAGATTTTTGTCAGTCCAGTAGTATGGATACATTCAAGAGATCCATGTCTCTCTCATTCTATCCCAGAACATTATCAATAGTTACCATAAAGTTATAGATGATAATTTAAGAATAAAATGAAGAATTTAATAGGAAATTAGAGCACAGATGCAGAGTGCAAGAAAGATGAAGATTTATTTATAGTATTAAAACAATAACTGTCAACAATCTAACAGCTGGACTATGCTCTTTTTCAAGCCAGAAAACTATACATCTCTCTTTCTTTTCTCTGTATCTGTCTTTGTCTGTCTCCCTACCTTGCATTCATCTCTTCCACTTCTTTGTCCCTTTCTCATTTATATTTCTCTATTTGCTAATGAATTTGAGCACTCTTTCATATGATGTTGTTTCTTAAATTTCTATTCTCGGTATAGCTTATTTGTATCATTTTACTGGGATCTCTATATTTTTTCTCAATCCCTAACATACACTAGGTATTCCTTGTAGACATTGAAATACTTCCTTCCGATTGATGCTCCCTGGACCTAGGTTTCCAAGAGCCAGTAGGTATGGGGAAAACTGACGATCTTCGTACTGCAATGTGTACACATTACCTGCCTTAACTCAATCAGGCCCCTCTGTGCCAAGTACTGGGCATTGTGTGATGCTTCCTCCATTATTACAATTTTTAGCAGCATAGAAAACCACCATTGTTCCTAGAGTCACTGTCAAACACCTTCCACTCAGAAAGGCTTAAAAACTATTAATCTATTTTGTTAAATTTTTGACAAACTACTCGTTTTTTCATTACCTTTTTCTAATTGGAGTCTACTGTCTGGTTATAGTAAAATTTCATACACTGTTTTTTTAAAAAACACATACCTCTCTTCCCATATCTTATCTCTTTTTATGATCAGTTTCCATCCAGAGAACTCGCCAGTCTCACTGTTGCCTTGATATCATAGATGCTTTAGGATAATTCACTAGGTACCTGAGGAATAGGTCCTATTCACTGAGACACAAAAAGAAAATTTAGTTATACTACATGGAATTTCAACATCTAGGAGAAGAAACAGGGTTAAGAAGAACCATGGAATATGTATTCAAAGGAGTGTATATTAGTAAGGGCTATCTATAGGAACAGGATTAATAGAAAGTATATGTGAAATTATGCAAATGGACTACTAGATATGCTTAACGGATCACAGGTGGAACCACCCACAATGCTGGTCTGCAAGATCAGAGGTTAAGAGGTACAAAATTCCAAATTGTATCTGCATGCTGGAAAGCTAGAGAATCCAGTAGCTGCTCAACTGAAGATGAAGAACATAGAATCAGAGGAATCAACAATTCAGTACCAGTCAAAGGGGGAAGGCCTGGGAGCTCGCCAGAGGGTCAGGGTGCAAGTCTGAGATGGAAGGGTAAAGGAATATTCAATATTCCTTCAATATTCAAAGGCGATGGAAACAATATTTTTCTTGAGAATTTGGTCACAATAATAGTTATTATTATTATTATTGCTTTATTTCCATAAATCACCCTAAATATTGAGGAAAAAATTAAGACCACTATGTTTATACTTGAGGTAACAGGCAGTATAGAGTGGTCATCGCTGGGAAGGAGAATACACATAAAGAGGTTCCACTCTTGCCTCAGACTCTGCCTTGGTACAATTTTTAGGTTGCAGCACATGAATGGAATGTTCTCTCAGGATATGGGGGCTTGCTGGTGTCAGAGTACAGAGGCAAAGCCCATAGTTGGGGAGCTGGTGATGTTTGTAGGGGTAAATTCTACAGAAAAGGATGCTATTCAGTGTGAGATTTGCACATATTCCATGGGGGCCCCTTAAATCTTTGGTGGAGTCATAAGCAGCACAGCATGGAGAAAGCCTCTGTAAAGTCTGGAAAAGAGCCAGTGCTGGGATGTTTGGGAGAAGTGGAGACTTCAGCAGTCACACAGACCTGGGAAATAGGAGTTCTGACCAGCCAGAGTGGGGAGATGGCCCTATGGAGCTGTCACCTGAGATGGTTGCTGCTTTCAAGAAGGACCACCCAGGGATGGAGGAGGAACCACTCTATGACTGGTGCTCAGAAATGTTCATCTATCTCATAAAAGACCTGCTGATGTGTCAGTAAATTACCTGCCTTCTAGAAACGGAAATATTTTGAAACTTTCCCAGAAAAGATTCTCTGCAATATAATATTCACAATTTCAAAATGGAACTAAAAATTAATTACACCTGGCTCCCTCTAGCAGGAATAAATGGTAGCCACCAGCATGTCAGCAATGGAACCCAGAACAGTAAAATACATGTGAGCCCACTGATGGCAAACCTGGAGGATCTGGACAGCTTGTGATTCCAAGTTTTGTTTTTTGTTCTACTGGAAATTGAACTCAGGGCTTTCAAACTGAGCTAAAACACCTTGAAAGCTTTGATTCGAGTAAGGCAAAAGGTGTTAGGCACACACACACACACACACACACACACACACACACACACACACACCTTTCTACTGACTAGAAAAGTTGACTCTGAAACCTAGAGTGTGTGGGAAGCCCTGTAATTGGCTGCCACCTTATATCTGCCGGCCGTACCATCTTAACTCCCTCTAGGAGTTAAGTTTGGTAGTTAAGCAGCACCTTCATTTCAACTCCCCCTCTAGGGTCTCAGTGGACTTACCCGCAGGCCGGGACAGGAGTGTGTTCAAGTAACCAATTCTAAATACTATAAATTGTACGTAATAGTGGAAACCCTCTCTGGAGTCACTTTTTCAAAGTTTATGTCACTCCAAACAGCTGGAGGACATTACTGGGGTGTAAGTCGCAGTATAATCTGATATCTACAACACAGTACAGGTGCTAGAATATTGTCTGGGTTTAAGTTGGTGGCCCCCATGTATTTACATTGTGCATTTGTGATTGGTTCATTGTCTAGGATTTGGATTGATGGTGTCAGTGCTACACACACGTAGGGATGGAGCCAGAATGTGATGTAATGGCAGGAAGAAGGAATGTCTTGCTCTTTTGCCAGTTTCCGCCTTGCTGTTTGCAGCCACCATAAACTGTGGCCCAGCCATGCCACCCTGCCTTGGAGTCAACTGAGTATGGACTGAAGCCTCCAAAAACTGTAAGAAATAAAGCTTTCCTTTCCCAATTTTGGGCATCAGGTATTTTGTCTCAGCTACAAGTAAAAAGTAACTAACACAGATATTATCAATGAAGAATTCCCTCAGGGAAGTCTAAGTACAGAAAACCTTCAAACTGTACAGTACAGAAAAACTTCAAACGATATGCATTGACACTATCTTTGTCATACTCACTTGGGACATCTTCTAAATACTAGAGACATGATACTAGAGTTTGATTCACCAGATATAACCTAAATGATGAGTATACAAAAAATGAATTTGGATAGGGTTCCAGATGTAGAATTAATTAACAAGAACTATGCCTATACCAGAGGTTGACATCATGGACCCTGGAAACTGAAAGAGTTTGTGAGAGAAGGCACGGATACAAAGATGAAAGGCAGTACCAACATTACCTTGGAGATATCGAACATGAGACAGTTAGAAAAATTGCCAGCATTTTCAAAGATACAACCATTTCCAGAGAGAAAGACAGTGGCTGTGAAGGAGCCCTTCAAGTTATTTGTGGCTGAGATGCTCAAAGACCTTCATATCCCCCAATCTGTCACTGGAGAAGGTGGTACACCAGTGATGATTCAAGGACTATTTCAATTTATGGTCAAAATAATTTTTACTGTCTGATACATCTATTCCTCCATATTTCCAGAGGAGAAATTTAGTTGTAAATCTGAATAAATAAGGCTATTTTGATTCTTTCTCAAAATTGTTAGATCTTGGAAAATAACATTGCCCAAGTACAACAATACTCCTGAGAAGAAAATCACGAAATAACATAGATGTTGGAAATTTCAGATGAAGTTTCTTATTGTAAAAAAATGCTCATGAATTTAGAAAATATGGCTACAGTGTGATCAGTTAATAAACTCAATAAAGCCATAGACATCAAGACAAAAAAGAAAAAGATACAAACTACTACCACATCAATTATGAAAGAAAAAATATCTCTGTAACTGCAACAGACATAAAAATGATTACAGGGTCAAAACTGATTATGTCAATAAATTCTACAATGAGGATGAAATTCTCTGAAAAACACAATTAATCAAACTGGTCAAAGATTAAATATGAAATGTGAAGAAGCTTAT